AAAAAAAAACAATCAAAGTGTCTTTATCTAGAAAAAAATCTCTATTGTCTTAGAATAAATAAAGCAGGTGAGAACATAATGAAAAATGTTTCTTTGCACTAAATAATTTATACCCTATCATCAGAGCTAAGCATTTGCCATTTGGAAGCAAAAGAAAATGTTTTAATTCAAGCAATTTAGAAGCTATGTTATTCTGGTTACAAGTACTGTGAACACCATTATGTCAATTCTCACTTTTCTGTGCTAATAATTCCTGTGCCAGGAATAGCATGGATAACTGAAATCCACAGATAATCCAGATAAGTAGTTTTCAACATTTTCCCCACAAAGCCATTTGAATCACTAATGAGTAGTGAAAAATTACTAATTTTGAGTTCTTTCAATTTTCTGCAGGCACCCTCTGGTGCAAATATTATTGAGTGATAAAAAGGGCTCAAAAAAAGAAAGAAAGAAAAGAAGAGAAGCAAATGGCCCTTGTCTTCCACAAAAGGAATTTAATCAATCCTTAAATGAGCAAGAGTTGATTTGAGGAAAAGATATACAAGATAAACTAAAAAGATTCCAGAGGCTCCTACTAAGGCAGTACTGTGATCATTATCTTTAAAAGCCATGGAACAGTAAGCACATCTCACACACATTTTAGCTTTGATCAATTTCCTGTCTCAGGATATAGAATGCTGGAAAAACAGGGAACATTGAGGAATGGCTGTAAAAATTGTGATACACTGATGCAATGGAATGTTACTGTACCATAAGAAAGTAAGAATACAAATAATACAAAGAAGTATGGGAGGACATATTAGCTATTGCAAAGTAAAGAAAGGAGAACCGGGAAAATGATATACCTAATGACTATAAGAGTATAAAACAATAGAAACTGAATGCTGGGAAATTATATTGACCAAGCTTGGACCTAAATAAGAAATATGAGAAGGTATTTTCCCCCTTCTTTTCAGGAGGTAAGAAATATCATCAATCAGTCAATCATTTTATTTATTAAATGCCTTTCTATGGGCCACATATTGCGCTAGGAGCTAGGGAAATAAAGACAGTCCTTGCTCTCAATGAGTTCACAGTTTAATGATGGAGACAATGTGCAAACAACTATGCAAGATAAATTGGAGATACTCAACAAAGAGAAGACACTGGAAGGAAAGGAGATTGAGAACAGTTTCTTGTAAAAAATGAGATTTTAGTTGGGAATTGAAGGAAGTCAGGGAAGCAAGGAGGTAAAGATGAGGGCTAAGAAAATTCTAGGCATGGAGGACAATCAATGAAAATTCCCAGAGTTGAGAGAGGGAATTTCTTGTTCAAGGAAGGACAAGGAGGCCAGTGCTATTGGAACACAGAATATATGTTGAGACAGGGGGATTTAAGGGAAGGGCTGAATGTATGGTATAAGACTGCAAAGATAGTGGAAGAGGAGAAGGTTATGAAGAGCATTTAATGCTACATAAAGGATTATATTTTTGCTTCTGGAGATGATAGAGAGCCACTAGAGTTTATTGAGTAGAGGGGCCACAGAGTAGGAACATTATGTTGGCAGCTGAGTGGAGAATAGACCGGAGTGAGGAAAGGGTTGCGGCAGACCAACCAACAGCCTATTAGAACAATTCAGGCATGATTATACAAGCATAACATTGATGGAGTAGAAATAATTTGAAGATCATAGGTTTCCCAGAAGAACACTGCAGGTCCAATTGAACAAATTAAATTGAACAATTCTAATGACAAACCACAAATTCTGAAATTGACTAGTAGAAAGGTTTTCAAATATAAAGGTGAGGAAATTTGAATAATACAAGGCTATTCTTCACTCACCAGAAACCAAAGAAGGGAATGGAAAATACATTCTGAAAAACAAGAAAACTCAAGTTGTGATCTAAAAATGGCATACCCTGCAAACCTGAGGCTAATTATCAGTGGGAAAAGATGGATGTTCAATAAAAGCATCATTTGAAGGATTCCTCAAAAAAAATTACCAGACAATTTCTTTTACAAATATCCTAGAAAAAAGAGGCACAGACAAGGTAAACAATTATAGCTATCAAGAAAAGCAAAAGCAACAAAATAAATTATTCCATCTCTAGAGATTATTAAAAAAGAAAAAAAAAGATTTAAGAGAAAGATATCTATGAGGTTAAAAATAACACCATTAATAACTAAATGACAATAGAAAGATAATTAAGAATTTTTTTTTCTGAAAGAAAACAAGGAAATAAATATGAAAACAGACCTCAGATAGGAGAAGTGATAGTAGAGAAAAAGGTATGAAAAACTATGGACTAAGCCTCACAACCACCCTCTCCTCAGTTGTATCTTTTTTTTTTGTGGAACTATACTGCAGGTATGGGAGTAAGCATTGAAAGGGAAAAGGAGGTAGAAAATAGAGTGAAATATTGTAAATATTGTTGGAGGAAAATAACTCCCGTAGTATCTCAGGATGAAGAAAAGCTGCAGAATAATGGATGCTATGACAATGAAAATTATTGAGACAAGGGAACCCAAATGAGAAATCTAAAACTGAGTAGTAGGAAAGGATCCCAGTGAAAAGCACTCACTTGAGGGAGAGATGCAGATAGGGATCTTATAATGGATATAACCTGCATGGATTTGGTGCTCAAAGATATCACTACCTGTAACAAAGTGGTGTGCTTACATGGACAGCATCCTGTGAGAGAAGAAATGGAATCAGACCACCTGGGAGCAACCAATATACAGAAGGGTGGAAAGATATGGACTGACAAAGGAAATTTCATGGCAAATGTGAAAAAGAATTGACATGAGGAAGACAGGGGTAGAAATAGATGGCACAATCAGGAACACTGATAAACTTCTACCATGGGGCAATATTTCTATCCTTTCTGTCTCCTAGAGGAATTGATATTTCTAAGAGTGAGGAACAACAGAAAAAAAGGGAGGGAGAAGGCAATAGCTACAAGGCAATGATATGAAAATTGTTTAGAAAAAGGAACTCAAAGCAAATACTTTAGAAATTTCAATTACACAAGGAATACAACTAAAGAAAGAATAAATTTTAAGGACCATGAATTAAATTATAAAGAATAAAAGCTTAGAATTAACAAAAAGCAAAGAGCATCAATAAAGATGATGAAGGAAATAAATCATTTTAAGAAAAAAGTATATAAAATTTTAAAAATAGCAAATAAAAGAAGCTGAAGGAGTAGAGAGAAAGAGGTACTTTAATTAACCATTTAGAGAAAAAGAGAGAAAAGAATTAGATAACTAAATTTAAAAAGGAATAAAAAGGAATTGATAAATTAATTAAATAAAACTCCAAAACTAGGGAAAGTCGTGACAAATGGGAAGGAGGAAGAACTTCAAAGAGAGCTGAGGAAAGCTGATAAGAACAGGGTTCCCTCAAAGTAGATTAAACAGAAATAAGGAGGAAAGGAACCAAAAAAAAATCCTAATTCAGAAAACACAACATTAGAGACAAATGAAGAATAATATAAACCTCTCATAACTTTAAAATCTGAGTGGATTAAACAAACTAATAGAATGAAAAAGTGACAAATTTGATAAAACAAAAAAACCCATAATCTATTGCTCACTATAAACATACTTAAAAGTTAAAAAAAAATGAGGAACTTGAACAAAATTTACTATGATTCTAATGAATCCAAAAAAAGCACAGTTGAGAATCATGCTTTCATACAAAGTAAAAAGAAAAACTCATAATATAAGTAGAAATTTTAAAAAGGAAACCAATATCAGTGTTAAACCTATATACTCCAAGAGCCTTTACATCTAAATTCATAAAGGAAATTGAATTACAAGAAGATATAGAGAGTAACATCACAATAGGAGACTTTAGCGTCTCCTCCACACACATACACATTGACAAATGAAAGTGAATGTTGCCCAATTACAAAGAACAAGCATAGTCCCAAAGAATAGATATGAGAAGAAACTTTACCCTACCAACCCACTCCACTGGTATTTAAAACCTCCAGGGGGTGGCATATTTTCATCCCATCCAACAGACTTGCCCCTTCAGATTTAATCAGAGAAAGGTATTCACACTTTGTAAAGGGAGGAAAGTGTGTTAACACATTGTTAGCATATTACCACGTCATCATCTGTGATTATATACTGTCACTAAATCAGCTGAGCTGGGCTGGGGAGTGGGGAGAACAAAATCTCCACCTTATATTAACCATTAACAACTGACAGAAAGATATAAAGAATGTAAAGTCTCACTTGTCCTTTGATGATAAAAAAAAGCATTTAATTCAGCAAAGCTCAACCTTAAAGATTCTCCTTCAACAAGGCATGTCCTTTTCACATGTCAAAAATGATCCAAGATTCCTTGAAAGATGTAACAGCCACAAGATTTCAGGGAGATGCCAGCTCCCCACTGTGTAAAATTCCTCACTTGGTAGAGCTAGATGGGGAAGGGTATTGATAATCACAACACCCCAGGAGATGGACCAGCAAAGCCATTCTTCATTCTTCCCAAGTTTTCTTACTCTTCCTGCTTGTTCTTACCTTGCTTATGTTGTGACACATGGATCGTGTAGTTGCGCCAAAAACATCTACTAATAGCATAGTCAGAAAACCTGAAGGCTGTGGCCATTCAGACATACTCTCACTTGAACACGTCCTTTATGAATGAAATGAATGAATGTATATAGTCTGGGTGAATTATTATTTGTAAGGCCCTGTAATTAATTGACCAAACCTCATCTAGCTCAACACCACTCCCTTGACTTCCCTTGTTCTCCAAATGAACACTGAGTGAAAAGGAGGTCTCTGTGGATCTGAGCCAGCTATTTTCAAAGGTTAAATTAGAAACTTTAAAAAAAAGTGGTTTCTTGAGAACCATCTTCTAATGATGATGTTCCCAAGTTCCACCATGTGTCTGTCGACCAAGATATTGAGATATGGATAAGATTAGAAACTTACGAATTTCAATGAAATATGTAAAATGTTATACTATGTTATACTATAGATGGGACACAAGAACTTTTCCTTACTTTTCCAAATTTCTTCCATATTTGTGGTTTCTGAGGTTACAGTGGAATCCAAGCCTCTCTGGGTTCAAGTTCATCTGTTCTTGACAAAATATGACTTCCTGTGTCAGAAGAAGAAAATTGTAGCTGAGGAAAAATAAACGAGGACAATTAGATGGAATCATTTTTAGCCAAAACTATTTTACAAGTTAAATATAAATGAATCAGCATCACATTTCCCTAAAAACATATTGGGAATTGGGGTATAAAAATCTGAGAGGAAAACAGTAGAGTTGAAAAGGCTTTATGGTTTGCCCAAGTCCCATATCCTCGTATAATACAGAGGTTCTGAAAATCCTAAATTTGATAATATGTCAGTAGAATAAAACAGACAAGTGGGCAGATAATAAGAATATCTATCCTAAGACAGGATAGTTGGAGCTGGAAGGCACTTATGTTGTGTGTCATAATGGCCTTTACATCTGGGCAAGTGAGTCCCTCCAAATCTGCTACCCTTTTCCCAAGATAATTTGGTTATATGTTTGCTTGTTACTGGTTATCCTCATTTGGGTCTTTATCAAAGCTGCCATGACTCTGAAATAATCTAGTTAAGTCATGTTTCAGAAATGAATTCCCCAGAACACTCTTGGGGGAAATGGAGGCTACAGGGAACTTTAATATCATCACAGTAGGAGCCAGAGTTTTCTGCTCCATCAACTGTCATTCACTGAATTCCTTGTTACTGGCTGTCACTATGTGTCCTGAGAATTTATATCCATAGATTACAGCTATCTGCAAAACATTTGGATCTGTGTGCATTTGTCTCTGGCATATGCCGTTACTATGGTATCAAGCTTCTCAGACAAAGACATTAGAGATGCACTTGGCCCTGATCTCTATTCCGTTTCAACAAAGAGAGGTCAAATGGAGAAAGTGTAGGATAGCCAGGATAATTGGCTTCTGGCTTTTCTGAGCAATGCTCATGGAATACTTGAACAGAAAGATAGATTTTACACCTGTCTTACAATGGAATTCTATCCAAGTAAGGGTAGATCTCAGGAGGGAGAGATCTGGAGTCTAAAAAGTTGAATCAAGGTTGATACGGTTTAATTTTTCACTGCTGGACTGCAAGATACAAGTGACACACACTTTTAAAAATGCAGAGACTGCCAATAATTAGAACCCACTTCCAGTATTTGTCAGCTGTCCAGCAGGGTTGTTCCATGGCCTCCATAAAGGTTAGTTCAAAGAAACAATGGTATCTCCTGGGAGGCAGCATACTGTAATGGAAAGAACAACACTGGGTGTAGAATTGGAAGACATAGGTTCAAATTCCAGCCCTGTCCTTTACTGTCTGTGTGCCTGAAAGTAACACACTACCTTTTTGGCCCTCAGTTTCCTCATTAATAATAAAGGCTTTGGACTAGAAAATCTCTAAGGTGCCTTCTAGTTCTAAGTCAATGATCCTGTCATTGTTGCTAATAGGAATAAGCATTGCAAAGGGATTTGATGTTAAAAAATTTTCCCCTATTGGCAGCCTAGTATTGAGTCATCCATGACAAGATATTAGAAATGGAAAGAGAATTAGCTGAGAGAAGATGAGTAACAAAGGAGGAATGTCAAGTAGCTAAGTGCAAGAGATTTGAAGTCAGGACTCATGGTGTGATTTCTGGGTATCTGTCCCTCTCCAAATATGTGACTTTGACTATCACTTAATCCTTGTGTTTCTGTTACCCTGCTTAAATCTTGCTGGAGTGAGTGAGAGTTTCTCCCTGTCATGTCTTTATTCAACAAACAATTCTTTGTTGATGAACAGCCATGGACAAGGCTCAGGGCTAGGAGGGATGAAAAAAAGATGGAGAAGCCATACTCTCTGTCCTTTAGACGTTCTCTTCCACTTAAACGCAGAAACATTTATTACTCTCCAAGACATGCACACAGATAACTTTTTAAAAGAACAGACCTGTGAATTCATGATGCATGGACCTCACAGTGGGGAACTTCCTTTGTAATGGTAAAAGTGCAGAACTGGCACCTGCTCTGAAACACATAGTCTCTGTGAGTTACCTGAGGCACTGAAAGATTAATTATCTTTCCCAGGGTCCCATAGCCAGTACATATCAGACATGGAGCTTGAGCACAAGTATGCCATGACTCTGAAGACAACTTCCTAACTGCTATTCTCCCAGTCTCTCATACATAAATAGCACTAATGCAAATCTATCTATCTATCTATCTACATACATGTTGTACATGTATATACATATGTGTCATATGAGAGAGAGAGAAAGGGGAGAGAGAGAGAGAGAGAGAGGAGACAGAGAGAGACAGAGAAAGAGAGGAGACAGAGAGAGACAGACAGAGAGAGACAGAGACAGAGAGTCAATTGACAAGCATTGATTAAGTGAGGTCAAATGAATTTCCTTGGATGAGTTAGTGGAAGAGTCAGGACTTGAACAGTGCTCTACCTTCCTTCCCTAGGTGGCAGAAAGATCTGATGCTCGAGTCAAAATTAAGAAGAGGAGATAAAGATTTGGACACTAGGAACATAGAAGTGAAAATTGAAGTCATGGAGATAGCCAACCAATATTGCTATAGAAGAGAGTATAGAGATAGAAAAGTAGAGGGCTGAGCTTAGAGTCATAGTAGAAGAAGCAGACAGGAGGAAGAAAAGGCAAGGAATGAGACAGAGATGAGTCATTAGAGAGTTGGGGAGAGAACAAGGAACATGCAGCATCATGGAAGTCAAGTAAAGGGAGAGTATCAAGATGAAGGCCATGGTCAACAGCAGCAACATTGCAGAATGAGTTGTAAAGAAGTGGGGTCAGGAGGAAGTACAAAATCTTCTTTCTATAAATTTAAGAATGTAAGGAAGAAGGAAGATAGAATATTAGCTTGAGGGGATTGCAAGGTCCAGGGAAGTTGTTTTTTTTTTTTAATCCAACATATTTTAAAGATTATTTTAACTTCTGTTTGCAAGCAAGAATATTTAAATATATGAACTGAACTATAAGAAAGGAAAAAATATGGAAAATAAATATATAGTATGAGATCAAACACCTTCCCACCCCCAGGAGAGGTAAATGAATGCATGTTTCTGTAATTTCCATTATTTGCCAACTATTAACCCCACCACAAAACCACGTATAGTGACTTTAATATTGTAGCATCCACATTGGCCTTAAATGCTCAGTTTTTCTTTTACTTTTTTTTTACTCTGCTTACAATATGAATTTGTTGTTGTTATCATTGCTTTAGTTACATAGTTTCAATACTTTTGTGCTATCTTCCTTATGATATGCCAGTAGTGAGACAACTGTGTCAAAGGGCATAGACATTTTTGTAACTCATTGCATAGTTCCATATTGCTAAAGAGAAGGTTTGGACCAATTCACTTGGCAATGTAATAGCCAGCCTGTTTTGCTATGGCTGTGCTAATTTTCTGTGGAAATTTAGAGTTCTATGAAATCTCAGGATTATTTTTATTTTCATTTCCTCTAGATGTTAATGATTCCAAATATTTTAAATGTGATTTTTGACAGTTTGTAAGAGTGGGCTTTTGTTGCTGTTGTTGTTAATTGCCTGTTTATATCTTGTTAGTAGACAATTGGACTCATAAGTCAGAAAATGACTATTCGGTAATGGTTAAAAATTACGTTAATCAGTGGAACAGATTCGGTACATGACATACAGAAATAAACATGGTAGCATAATGTTCTGTGAACCCAAAGATCCCAGCTACTAGGGAAAGGATTCACTATTAAACAAAAACTGCCAGGAAAACTAGAAAGTATCCGTGAAAAATTAGGTATAGACCAACATCTCACATTATGTAACAAGGGAAGCCCAAATGGAAACATGACTAGAAATTTAAAAATCACATCATTTAAAAAATTAGAGAAGCAAGAAAGAAATTATCTTTTAGAACTATTTATAAAAGAGCTCATGGCTAACCAAGGGAAATAGTGGCTCTCAGAAGATAAAATCGACTATTTTGATTACACAGAATTTAGAAGTTTTTGCATAACCGATACCAATGCAGTTGAAATTAGAAGGGAAACAATGAAGGGGGGAATTTTTGCAAGTTTCTTGAAAAATTAATATAGATCTTATTTCTAAGAAATTTAAGGAACAAATCCAAATTTATAAGAAGAGTCATTCCCCAGTAGAAAAATGATCAAAGAGTATGAATGAATGTGTAGTTCTCAAAGGAAGAAATCCACACTATCAATCAAAAAGGGAGGGAGAAATGCAAATCAAAGCAACTCTGTGGTTCCGTTTCACACTCAGATTGGCAAAGATAACAAAAAAAAAAAGGAAAATAACAAATGTCAGAGGTGCTATGGGATTACAGTCACATTGATGCATTGTTGGTAAACCATGAATTGGTATAGCCATTCTAAAAAGCAATCTAAGGGGCAGCTAGGTAGTGTAGTTGATAGAGCTCCAACCTTAGAGTCAGGAGGACCTGAGTTCAAATCTGACCTCAGACACTTGACACTTACTGGTTGTGTGACCGTGGGCAAGTCACTTATCCTCAATTGCCTCACCAAAAAAAAGGCCATCTAGAATTATATCATGAAAGCCACTCAATTGTGTATTCCTCTTGACTCGGTGGCCTCTATCCCAAAGAGATTAAAGAAAGCAAAAAAAAAAAAAAAAGACCTGTAGATACAAAAATATTTACATTTTTTTGTAACGGCGAGGACCTAAGGAGTTACTAATCAATTGGTAATAGCTGGACAAACATGATTATAGGAGTTAATGAAATATTATTGCATCATAAGAAATGGTGAAAGGGTTGGTGTCAGAGAAACCTGAGAAGACTTGTATGAACTGATGCAAAATGAAAGGAGAATAAACAGAAGAATAATTTATATAAAAACATTTAAAAGACCAAACTACTTGGAAAGACCTTAGCAATTCAATTAATGCAATGACCAACCTCAATGCTGGAGGACAGATGTTGAAGCATGACAAATGTCATCAGACAGAAAGGTGATGGACTCAAGATACAGAATGGGCAGACATTTTTGAACAAGTCCAATGTGAGAAATTATTTTCTTGACAATGAATATATATTTAAAAAGGGAGGGAGGGATGTCCTTTCTTTTTGTGG